TATTTTAAAAATTAAAAAAAATATTATGCTACAATATAAATTATTTATCATAAATTTAAAATATAATTTATATATTTAAAAATATTTATTAATATAAATTTTAAATATTTAAACATAATATTCGTTTATATAATTTATATAGATTTTAGTTACATATAATAAATATTTAATTTAAGCAAAATTAATAATATTATATTATAAAATCAAATTTTGACATATAGGTACCTCATAACATCACATTAATTTTTGTTTACCAAAATATTGCTGTTAGTTTTTATTTTAATTTATATTTTTCATAAAAAAATATAGGTAAAAAACTTTTATACAATTCAATTCTTACATTCTTACTCGAAATAAAGATAATTTAATAATCCAAATATTTAGGCAAACAAAAGTATTTCTATGGTCAACCGTCAAATTGTAATAAATTTAGAATTTAGAATATACGAACAATTTTCTTTTTATATATAAATTATAATAATAATAAAAATCTAAGTAGAAAATTCTTATACAAATTCCTTTGTATATTCCTGCTCAAAATCAATAAATTTAATAATTTAATTATTTGAGTATTTGTATAATCAACTACTAAATTTTAATAAATAGAAAACGACATGACTAATTCTATCTATACATAAATAAAAATCACTATCTTGAAGTAAAAGCATTTTTATAAATATTTTTTTAATGATTTTGTTATGGAATTTTTTAGAAGTTGTTTCATGGAATTAAGTTATAAGTTAGTTGAAAGTATATAAGTTTATAAACAAACTTATTGAACTAAAAGAGATTGATAAGATTAATTAATAAATTATATGATAAAATTAACTTATTGAACTAAAAGAATTTGATGTGTGTGTTATCCATATTTTTATATTTTTTTGTCATTTAGTGTTTAAGTATCTATTGATAGTCAAAAAATTATGAATAGTAAAACATGTACACATTTATATATTAATTTTTTTAACCATAGTATTGATATAAAGTATCTGTCATTAAACACAATGAGTAATATTCACCAAAGATCATAAGCGCGTACAAGGTGAATTTCCCTCCCGACATAGTCTATTCCTATCCAAATTCAATATTTGAACCCTAAACATCTTAATTAAGAGACACAAATTATTACATTTATGTCAACTAATGTTTGTACTTTTATATATTAATTAACATTGTATTAATATTTAATATTTTTATCTATCCATTCCTTTCTATATCTATCACATTATATCAATTATCGTACCTATAATTTTTTCTATTATGTCAATGCACCAAAAAATCATTCTTAAATATTTCAATATTCTAAACACCTTACCATAAGGATCAAATCTTTTTATATGTGAATGGTAGCTACTTAAGCTACTCAAGCTTAATTGAAATTGGCAGAATCATCATAAATTTTTATGACAAGTGAATCTTAGGCTTTTATTAAGATATAAGGTGAGTAAATAATATTTGAGCAAAATTATTAATTATTGGGATACAAGTAAAGTCACACATCATTCAAATAAGAATATGGACAATGATTTATATACACACAATTGTCTTAATTGATAGAGAGACAACAAGTGATATCAAAATCGTTGATCATGTAACCAATTTGACAAGTATGATAATTGGCTTCTATGAGTCAATAGTTTCCACAACACGGATTAAATCGTGATCCTTAAGAATAAGCAATGGTACTTACTAAAAACTCTCATTGGAGTGATCATACACGGCAACCCAGTTGCTTAAATTTTTTTCTCTGTTGCTTGTAGGAGCAACAGTGCTTAACGCTGAGAAATTTGAAAAAGAGAAGTATGAGAGAAATTTGAAAAAGAAAAGTATGATTGGTTGAATTGGATCCACGTGGAATATGTACAGAGGTTTTGAAAATAAAAAAGAGAAATTCTATGATACCCACATTGTTTAAGAGAGTACCAGTACAGTTGTAATTATAATTTTATTTTATATTTTATATTTTTAATAATTAATTTAAATAATATTTATAATATGTCATCTTGTAACTAATTTTGTCTAAAAAATAATAGATAATCATACCCTTAATTTATTTTTATTTTATATATTCTAATTTTATTTGTAATAATATTATTATATATTTAAATAGTTTATTTTTAATAATTTTTTAAGTATATTTTTGTCTTTTCACTTAACATATTTGAATTTCTCTATTTTAATTTGAATTATTTTTTAAGTATATTTTTGTCTTTTTGTCTTAAATTTTTGCTTTTCTATATTATAAATAAAAGAATGTATTAAAACCCTCTAATATTTGAGGGTACCGTAGCAACTCCCAAGAGAGATGTTGCTTTGAGAGGAGAAAGAGAGACATTGCTTTGAGAGAAAGAGAGAGCGAAGAGAAAGAGAAAGAGAATGAGAAGCTAGAGATGTGAGAGAAAAGCAAAAGAGAAAGAGACGTGAGACTTGTAATTTTTTTATTTTTGTAATTTTTGGTATTTATTTTTATTATGTAATTTTTTTATTATAATTTTTTGTATTTATTTTTATTATGTAATTTTTTTTATTATTATAATTTTTAGTATTTTTTATTATTATGTAATTTCTTTTTATTATTGTAATTTTTAATTATGTAATTTATTTTGTTAGTTATTCATATTTATATATTATTCATAATAATTAATTTTATAAAATTTATCATAAAATATAGTGTGAGGTGTCAAAAAATGTAGTATGAGTTGTAAAAAAGTATAAATGCTTATAAACATTTTTATTGGAGCAAAAATTGTAAAAATATAGTATGAGTTACTTATGAGTGACGTAGCATAATGAGACCCATTTAAAGTAGTTGAGAGTTCATTGTAGATTCTCTTAAACTGTTATCAATATGAAAACATGTATATATACGAGGTACCTATGCACAATAATATATATCATATCATTTTATCTATCTTACTTTATTTTTCTATGGTTTATCTTTATCTTAGTGTGTTACATAATATCCGGGCTGTAGAAATATTATATTTTTTCCTTTTCCAAAACATATATACAATCCCACACATGATGTTTACGTTCAAATAATCAAACTTAACCATGATTCCAAAACACATAAACAGTCGAGGCTCTCTACTGTATCCAAATGGTGCGAGGGGATTTGATAGACCTTCTAAGTTCATTACACACATTATCTACCATCTCCAAGAAGTCCCTCACGATCACAAAGATTCGAAGTGGATTCGGCTCATCTTTACTCACATCCCCATGAAAATACTCAGTTATTTCCCTGACTCGACCCATGACTCTACCTTCATCTCCTTGCAAATCCTGCACCTTCCTTTCTGCATAACTCAGAAAACATTTCATAGAAACGACAAACCTCTCACTCTTTTCATCCTCACACAACAAAGCCTTTACCATTTTCTGCATGTTAGCCATTCCACTTGATAGGTTCGATATAGAACATGCAAGAACATCCACGTCAATTGTGGCTGCCTTCTTAACATTGCATAACTCGGCACTCAGACCAGAAACAAATTTTATTCCCATTCTTCTGTAAACTTCTTCCTTCTCTTCCTCAGTTCTGTTTTCACTTTTCTGCCCCATGATGCTCTCTGAAGCTTTCATTCCTTCTGAGCGAACAATCTCTTGAACAAAGAAATGAAGCAAAGTGGTTTTACCATCAGTTCCTTTAACATCAGCAAGCTTGAGAAGTGCATCGAGTTTGAAGGCTCTGGCACCTCCCCTGATTGTTCCAACGTTCATGCGGTTCCCTGTTTTCAGCACTGCTTCTAATAATTTCAAGAAGAACTTGCTTGACCTTAGTTCCTTGCATGCTTCCTGGTGTCAAAATAACCAGTAAACCACAATTTTATAAGAACAAAAGTACTAGCAACTAGGGGTGGAAATTGGTCTAGCCGTGTCAAACCAGGCTTTGAGAGGCACATACAACAAAATTATTAAGTCTGAGTGTGGTCTAACCACCAGGCGAAGAAATTGGTCTGGTCTAGTCAGATCAAATCAGGTTTTGAGGGACACCTACAACAAAATTACTAAGTTTAAACTAAGTTTGAGTCTGATCTAGCAGCTAAAGGTAGAAATTGATCTGACCAGGTTACAACAAAATTACTAAGCGTGAATCAGACTTATTTCTATTCTTACTAACAATACAAGATGGGAATGATCAGTAATTTGAACTAATCTCCACTTGAGTATTAACCATAGTTTTCAATTTTATTAGAAAAATATTCATAACGTGATTGGCTAGGAATACATGATCCTACTACAATTTCTTCCCTAGATTTCTAATAAATTTTAGTGAATATGATAAAGTGTGTTAGATATATGGTGGTTTATTTCAAACAACAAATGCAACAAGCTGCATTAAATTGTTACTTGGCTACCTCTAGCGTTGAAAAAGAGTTACAGAGGTGAACTACTTCATCTTCGAAAGTCTCTCTGTAAAGCATGGCTTCCACTCGTTGAAAGGCAAATGGTATGCTAAGCATTGTTCTCACAAACTTTTCCGCCGACCCCAGTTCGTTAACTTTATAAGTTAAGAGCTTAGCTTCTTCTTCCTTCGTGGGTGCCATTTTCACCAGTGCCTCCAGTTGTTGCAAAGACAAGCCCTTCCCTGAATTTTCTTAAAACTATTTAATAAGATATTCAACGTAGCTACGTTAATTCAATCATTGATTTTATATTTAGCATATGGTGTATACGCTCATGCATGATTTGTTGGCCGAAACCTTAGTGGTCAAAGCATAAATTATAATTGTATACTTTATTCTTATCATTTCTAACACAAGATTTTTTTTCCTGAAGTTTTATTTTTTAACGTAGGCAAATGTCTATAATATAGGACCATTACCTAGTGCCAGGGTATCGCATGCTTGTTCAGCTGTGGTATTTAGAGCTTTTGACAATATTGCTATGTTTTGCAACCGTTTTGGCTCAAGTACGTGCATGCCATGAGACGGGCTTTTGCTTTTCGTTTCATCGTTCTTCATTGAATTTTGTAAATTGTAGGCGAAAAGTGATTCAATCATTTCCTCATCCAACCTAATTAAAATTCATCACATGCTTAAACCGAAATTAAAAGCAGATAGTTGCTAATTTGGAGAAAAAACTTACTTGAACGAGCTTGTTCGTAGCTTATCCCAAACCATTGTTCGATCTGGCGTGGCTCTTACTTTGTCCCAATGAAGTGGTTTGAGTTTTGGCAGAGGAGATTTGACACTGTTAATGTTTCCTTTTAAAAATGAAGGTGGGCATGGAGGTGGAGGAATGCTATTGCTAGGATGAGAAATTTCAGTCTTCTTTTGCTCTTCATGTTTTGGACCGCAAGGTGATTGGTTAGATTTTAACTTTGAAGTTGAATTCTGAGGGGAGCAAGGAAATTGATTTGTTGAAGAAATTAAGTTTCTGGGAGAAAGAGAGAGAGTTTCTGTTTCACTTATTGATGAATGTGAGTCAACACATGAATGAAAACTTTCGTTATCTGATGAACGGTATTCTCCGGTGACAGTTTTTTCTACATAGGAAGCTTTGCAGCCACCATCATATTCCAAATCCTCATGAACAGAGAGAATTTCATTAGTGGAAGAACTGGTAGAGCTAGCATAGTCACATTGACGTGCCACTTGCTTCTCATAAATTGTACGATTTAGGGAACCATGGCTTGAAGTGCTATTTTGTGTGTCACAAGTTTGTTTCAAACAAGTGAGGTAAAACAGATCAGGGTCAGGGTTGAAACTCACATTGCTTGATGAATTTTGGCAAGTACCTTTTGTTCTCCCGTTGTTGCTAGAGAGTGGTATTGTCCTATTGGGTTTCTTCTTCTGAGTTCTGAATTTCCTGCAAACGCATACACACGCAAGTGCACAAATCAATGCAGCAACTCCACCAGGTACTAAAACAGCCACTAGTGTTGTTCTTTTTGCCACGCCTCTATCTTGTTGTTGAATATTGTTAAGTGGCATGTTCCTATGTGAGTGATATCTTGGACTTGGAGCCTCAGTTTTGGTGTTGGGAGACTCAGAATGTGAGAGGGACACAAAGTCAGAGTCAGAGACGCTAGAGTATGGTCTTCTTGTGTTGAACCTGTCGAGTCCAAACAAAGCTTTAAAGTTTTCCACTATAGGAGTATGCTTGTTTTCATTCTCTTCCATTCCTGAGATTTTCTTGACATGGTTTTCATTTCCTGCTGCATTCAACGTAGCATCCACGGTCAAAATGTTGGCTCTTTGCAATGATGGGAACATCATTATGGTAATGATGAAAATCATGCTGTGAGCCTCAGAACCAAGACCCATTTTTTTATTCTGCCAACACAAAGTTCTCAAAACATCAATGCACCTTTTCCCTCTTTAAAATCTGCTTCTCTTTTTGTTCCATTTACTTTTTAAGGAGGAAAAAGAGAGACTTGTTATTTGCGTAATGAGTGAAGAAGATCCAGAACAACAATGTCTTTCATGCTACTCCAAGGAATCCCTGAGCATGGCAGCAGTTGTTGCATTATATTGGTCATTTGCTCCTTCTTTACTTCCTTCTTAGGGGACTCAAACTTTTCTTAGTTCTCATCATAATTGATTTTAAGCAAAACTAAGAACTAATCTCTTCAAATACTAAGATTTTTCTAAGGGATCGACCTCTTCTAATAAATATTTTTTCATATACATCAACTTAAAAGCGAATCTCTTAGACTCTAACCACATGCTAAACATAAGATAAGATTCTATCCATTATGACACTGTTAATGCATGACAATAGGAAAATCATTCCCTTTACCTTGACTTAATGCTCTTGTCTTGTGTTTTCTAAAGCTATTTTATCACAAAGTAAATGGAAGTTATTCACTAATTCTCTGGCTCGTCATGATCAAACACCTAGCCTACTACCCTCCTCTTTTAGTGTTAAATTGAGGATCAAAAAGTACAGTATCTGATAATCTCAGTCACGATCGTTGCAGTTGGATAAAGATTTTTAGTAGCTACGATCGTTGCAGTGGGTCCCGTTTGTTGGGCTTGGCTAACTCTTTACGGGTGATTCTACAACATTTCTCCATCCAACCCAATTAAAGAAAAGAGATAGGCTACGTGGGGACCAATTATCCTAAACTTATCATGCGAACGTGACAGTGTTTTCCAGAGAAACTTGTTTGGTTTAGACCACAAATATTTTTTATTAGAATCAATCGTATTTGAATTGAATAAAATTATTAGAGACAATAAAGTTTTTTTTTTAATATTTCATATAATTACATATTTAAGATCGAAATTGAGATCATTAATTAAATTGAAATAACATCTCACCGTTATTTTGGACATATACTATTGCATATATCAAACGCCTATAGTTATTAAAGATTTCTTCCCAATATTTTATTTATGATTTCACTATCAGACGTTAATTTCTTGTTGTTTTCTTGGTTCCAAGTATGCTATCTACGATTTGTTAAGAAGGATGTCGATTTTTTTGACCATTAGAGGAATGGCATTAGACTCTGTTGTCCTTACTAATCAATTCAGGGTGATCACAACCATTAAGATCTAGAAAGGACAGGCAAAGTGATTGAAAGTGTCAGGTTAACAATAGCATGCACACCACCTATTGATAATGATCTGATTCTGAAAGCTGCTTGCCTGCTACCTAAACCTTATGTATGTCGCATTCCCCATCTGTGTTACAATTGCATTCAAGAGGAAAGGCAATTCAATTGTGTCACACTGAAGCCCAAGTTATTTTTTTTTCTTGTTAATAGTATGTGCTAAACCTATCAGCTCATTACTCTTGACATAACGTTAGTGATAGTAGTTTTGTTGCGATTTTAAAATGTCTCTCGTAGTTATTACTCATTAATGATAGTTAAAGAAAATAAAAGTAAGAATAGATCTCCCAAAAATTAACGTGTTACAATAATTTAATTCTTCTGGGCCAACATTTGGGGTCTAATTCAATTATAGATGTTTCGACCCAAGGTGGTAAAGACCTAATACAGTAACTTTAATTCATTAATAAAAGCACCTCCAATTGTGTAATTATGATGCATTGTTTATGACATTACTGTAGACCTTTATATTACTAACATATAAGGATTTACGTGTAAATAAACTTGCTTTACATTTAATTTTATTTCTTTAAAACAACTAAAACTTCTCTCAATAAATAAAAAAATCTTAAATATAATTTTGTCTCTGTATTTTATTATTTTTCACTTTTAGTCTCAATAAAAAAAATGTATTATTGTTCATCCTTAACTTTTTATAATTAATGTTTTAAAAATGTTATTTATCGTCAATTTTTATTAAAAAATATTATATAACAAATAAAATATATATTATATTCGTTATATTTCACTTCTCAATTTTTACATAGGTAAATTTATTTTAAATTTTTTAGACAATTTTAAAATGCACTTCATTATTGTCATCACTTCATCATATTCTTCACGTACATTCTCTTTGGAATGTGGAATGTCATGTCTTGATTGTCGTCAATGATGAAGTTAGATCATTGGCTTCCTTTCTCCGATAAGGTGCCTCACTCGTCATTATTGTAGCGGTCATTCTAAGTGGCAACAGTCTTTATGGTCTTGAGTCAACTGACACAATTCTTCTTGGTCATTGATAGGGATGTCAAAAAACCCGTACATACAGGTATCCGCGGATAAAATTCACAATTGGTAAAAAAATGGATATTGTAAATGGTACTTGCAAGCATAGTTTTAAAAACCGGACCGGTCATCGAACCGGTTAAGGTACTGGGTCAGTGAGTCAAAGGTTGAACCGGTGGGTCACTAGTTGAACCGCATGACTCGATTTTTATTTATTTTTATTAAAAAAATATTCATATTAAATATATTTTATACTTATAAATTTTAATAAATTTATCTTATTTTAAATTTCAATTTTTCTATCTTATTTAAAATTATTTTTATTTTTATTTTGTAAAAAATATATAAAAAATTACATATTAAACTGTATATTAATACAAATTAAAAATATAAATAATATGTACATATATAATATGCTTGCAATTGATATCACAAAATAATATATGTAATATTTACATATATATTATATTATTAAATATATAATATAAAATTAATAATATACTATAAAAGTTATTTAAGTTGTATATTATATAAACAAATACATTAGAACAAGTAGTTATTGTTATATTTAATAAGAATCTTTGTTCTTCTATTAAAAGATTCAATTTTCATTATTATTTTTGTGGTTTATGGTCCCTTAAAAAATAAAAAAAAAAAAAAAATTAAAAAAATAAAAAAAGTGGTTGAACCGGTTTGACCCACCGGTTCACCGGTTGAACCGGAAAATTGACCGGTTCAATCCGGTTTGAAACGGGTCGACTGCATAACCGATCCAACTTAAGGTTCGGACCGGCTGGACCACCGGTTCCCGGTCCAACCGGTCCGACCGGCCGGTTCGGTCCGGTTTTTTAAACACTGCTTGCAAGTAATAGATCCGAGTATTTTTCATACTTGCATGCTAACGAGATGTATACAAGAATCATAGTATCTATACCTACAAATTTGTGTATCCGCTAATATTTAATTTACATAAATACCATTATATATATTGACTTTATTGTATTGAACATGTTAATATTTTAATTCTTAAAATGCGTTCAAGATTTTGTTGAATGTGTTTATTTTTTTGGTAATTTTATTTAAACTTATATGAATTTGACTTTATTTGGACTTTGTTTAGCCATGTAATAGTTAAGTATTACATTTTATTATCTTCTACTTTGATTTATGTGAAATCGAAATATTTTTGTTTTAACAATTATGTTTGAACTTTAAATTTATGTGATTGAACATTTAAAATTTAGGTTCTAAAATCCACTTATTGTTATTAGTATACTTGTGAAGAACATTTGAATTTGAATTTTATAATCTTCAAACTTATTTTATGAAGATTTTATTTGAATTTTACTTATAATTTTTAAACTTTTTTATGCAAATTTTTATAACTTTTAAAAGAAAAAAAAAACTATTACAAATAACTAGAGTGTATGATTAAAATATTTCTTAAAATATTTTAAAGATATATATTTTTTAGTAAATACTCACAGGTACCCAAAAATATTGTAAAAAAATGTGGGAATCTACTTAATAGATAGATGCACGAACATGAGGATGGGTATGAGACGAGTATTTATCCAATGAGGAGGATGGGGAAAGGTTAGTACCCGCCCCGTTGACATCCCTAATCGTAGAGGAGGTGACATTGGTGATGACACCAATAAAGTGGTGGATGCTTTTATGGTACATGAACTTTCCCATGATGGGAAAGTAGCTAAGCACGAGGTTGAACTCCTTCATAGTGAGGTGATAGTTAATAGCAACCTTACAAAAGTGGGGGTTGTTGAGGACAAACTCAATGTTATTGTCGAAATTACAAATTGTAAGAAGTTGCTCCTAGTCAAATGATTGAGGTTTGGATTAAGAGTTTTAGAGTTAGTGTTGAATTTGGATCATAGAGGGAAAGTGCAATCACAAGGGTGAGGGTGGAGAGTTTGATGCGGTGAAGTATATTTTAAAATTTTATCTAAAAAATTTAAAATCAATTTAACTACGTAATAATAATAAAATCAAATACAATAAATATAATATATATTTTGTCTAGTATGTATCATTTTTTTAATGAGAATTAACAATAAAAACTATTTTTGAATGTTATAAAATTTTAGGAATGAAATAAGAAAAAAAATTATAAAGGCTAAAAATTAAAAAATAATAAATTACAAGAACAAAAATTATATTTAACCAGAAAAATTATAATGTTATAATGTTATTTTTGATTCGGCTTTGAGATAACGTAAAAAGAAAAATCATGTTAGTATAAATTAAATTTAAATCTTATTAATCTTTGTAACATTAACTAATCAATTTTGTAAAGAAAAATAAATAAATAAATAAAACTTCAGATTGAATTCAAATCTTCTTTCCCTTCCTTCTCCTCCTTTCTCTAATTAAATACCTGCTAAAAAAATCATCAAAGCAACTAATAAATAAGAGAACTAGTGTTGTCAATATTGGGAGGAGGTCTAAGAAAAACAACAAATAAATAAGAGGGAAAATGCTGTCAATTGAGAAAAGTGAGGGAGAAGATTGAATTCTATACTTTATTGGGAGTAGATGTGGGAACAAGGTTTCTGAAAGATCTGATTTCATAAATTCCTTGAATTATAATTTATCCAAAACGATTGCTATTATAATTTGAGTTAATCTAGTGTATATTTTTTTTACACTAACAATTAATTAAATATTTTAATTATGTCATGTTATTGTTAAAAATAAATATATTTATAGTGAGATGACATAATTAAAAATTTTAATTAATTATCAATATAAAAAAACTTTATACTAATAATATATAGGTAATTAACTCTTATAATTTAATATGGATAGTCTTTCAAAACTTTTGGATTTAATTGAACCCAAGTTTCCTTTCATGCAAATTTTACAAGCCTTGCTTGCACGCTCATACTTATTGTGGCAGAGAGGGACCTCAAGGATTAAAAAGTGTTTCTGGACCTATAATGTAGTGAACATTCCAATAACATATCATTGAAGGACAGCAATAAAGAATATCGTGAATTACTTGCACCTTAACACACATTATATAATTTAATGAATTTCTTATTCATATTTGATCTATTTAGACAAACTTTTAATGTTTTGTTTCAAAACTCATTGCTTCCCATGTTATATTTATAGAGTTCGTATATAAGTGATGAGTTAGAGACAAAATATTTGAACGCTGCACGTAAAACCTCTAAATTATAAATTTCTTTAACCATTATACTTACCTCTCCTTGAGGGGTGATTAAAATTATGATTCCAACTCAAATTTTTAAATAATATTTTAACTTTATTCCATTAGAAGTTTTTCTTT